GTCAGTGGAGCAAGAGCCAGAGGGAAGATGGAGGCCCCGAGGTTCGGAGGCCATTGGCCTCCGCCAGTGATGAACCTCGAAAGCCATGGTCCCTCTGTCGGCAAATCGGAACATACTGCAGGCAGTTCCCGAAGTGCTTCTGGACAGTGCAGGTTCCTCGCCGACGCGAAAGAAATTCAGCGCAAGGTGCCTCCTGGCTTCACGCAGCAGTAAGAGGAGGATGCGCTGATACAGTAATAAACATTAGAATTCCTTCTAAATTATGAATCAGGCAAACCACATCGAGCCCGACAGAGATGATCCAGCTCCAGAGTGCCACTGTAGACCAACCCGAAGAAGCTGAAACAATAAGTTTTATGGCCCGCGAAGCATTGAAGTACGATTTGTTTGGCAACTGTGCTCCCGCGGTGGAAATGCTTCAACAACTGGACGTCAGAGGCATGTACTGCAGTTGTTATAGAAATGAGGACGCATTGTCCGAGTGGGTACCCATCGGGTTTTTTTTTTATCCGAGCGGGAGGCACATCCACCTTCGCACACATGGAATCACATTGAATAGGGATGTTGCGCCAATTTCTTGCACGCGCCGCATGGATTCCCAGATTTTCAGAAGAAATATGTGTGACGATGCAGAGGGCAAAAGAGCAGAGGCTGTGCATCTCTGAGCGCGCTTGGCGCGGGAAGCATTTGTCTCGGCTCAGCGAGAGGAGGTGGGGGGGAGAGAGGTGTGGGGTGGGGGCTTTGTTCGAAGCGTTGACAGCAGAATGTAGGCAGAATCTTCATCAGGCCCATCAGCAGGTGCCTGAGGCGCAGGGGCCTCCTGCATCTTCTCTCTCTCTCTCTCTCTTTCTCTCTCTCTCTCTCTCTCTATCTCTCTTTTTTGTTTGTTCTCTCTCTCTCTCTCTCTTTTTCTCTCTCTCTCTCTCTCTCTCTCTCCCCTGTTCTCCCCCGCGTTGCCACCCTGTCTTTCGCCCTCGGCCCATCTTCTGGATGCGCTGCGTGTTTCCCCGCATTTCCTGGCGTACACGTATGACCTTACAGAGGAAGGAAAGAGGAGAGGTGGAGCATTTCTGAGCGCGTTTGGCGCGGGAAGCGAAACCTGAGCGCGCCTGGCGCGGGAAGCGTATGTCTAAACGTAGCGAGGGCGGAACACGAGCGAGGACATCTCGGAGTGCTGGAGCTCTTGCGTTGGTGGAAGGGGGGGGGGCAGAGTGGGGGGGGGGGAGAGGGCTCTGTTCGAAACGCAACAGGATGTAGGTGTAATCTTTAATCACGCCCATCAGCAGGGGCTTGGCGTGCAGGGTCTTCCTGCTTTCTCTCCCCCCCTCTCTCCCCTGCGTTGCCTCCCTGTCTCTCGTCTTCGGTCCATCTTCTGATAGTGCCGCATGTCTCCCCAGATGTTCTGGTGTATAAGTGTGACCTTGCAGAGGACATCTCGGAATGCTGGGGCTCTTGTGTTGGTGGAAGGGGGGGAAGGGGGAAGGGCTTCTCGGAACACAGGCGCTCTGGCACGCAAATTAAAGGAGCGCTCAGGGAACCCCCGACTTGGGAGTCCAATTCCCCAGCGCGCCCCCCGGAGAGGGCACGCGCACTGGTCAGCAGCTGTCCCCCTCGCACTGATCCGAGGGATTCGTCTTAATCAGCGAGCCTCTCTTACGGGGCACCCTCGGAGCTCGCCCCCTTGAGCTTCGGGGTGCGCCCCATGCCCGCACCAGGAGAAGTATGGGGCGCGCGGCATACTATTTCATCGCAGGGGGATTTTGCCAGACGCGAGCAAGGCACCAATCCAGATGCGTTGACGTCGACCCCCATTATGCGCATGTCCTCTGTCCTGTCTTCCTCCTCCTCCCTCCTCCTCCTCCTCCTCCTCCTCCTCCTCCTCATCATCATCATCATCATCATCATCATCATCATCATCATCATCCTCATCCTCATCCTCATCCTCATCCTGCTCCTGCTCCTGCTCCTGCTGTTGCTGCTCCTCCTCCTCCTCCTCCTCCTCCTCCTCCTCCTCCTCCTCTCTCCTCCCCTCCCCCCTCCTCCTCCTCCCTCCTCCTCCTCCTCCTCCTCCTCCTCCTCCTCTCCTCCTCCTCCTCCTCCCTCCTCCTCCTCCTCCTCCTCCCCCTCCTCCTCCATCCCCCCCCACTTACCGCACGAATGCAGTGTCCAATTCGAGCGCGAACAGGCCCACGCACTCGCAGTGCTAAGCTTCCACTTTTGCAACACAAGTCGGCACGCACCAGTCCCTCCAAACAGTGCCGCCGCACAGACCAGCCTGTCCAGAACAGCGCGCGCTGACACCAGCGTGCAGGTGAGCTCGGCACCAGCTGCGCTTCATACTACTTGCGTTCCCTGCCCCCCCCCCGACCTCGCCCGAAAGGGTGAGTCGCGCCGTCGCCGGAGCGGCGGCTTCCGAAACAGACGCAGCACTGCGCAGGACAGGCCGTTGTTCGTCCACTTCGTGGATTTCCGGGTCCTCTGCGCCGAGACGCCAGCTCAG